GGGGCAGGGCAGGACAGGGCAGGGCGGAGTACTCAGATTACTTTGCACTGGAGCCTTTTACACAGTGGAGTAGGACACTAACATTGTGCATGTGAGGCAAGGCAGCACTGGGCAGTGCAGGGTGATGCAGCTCAGTGCAGGGTGATGCAGTGCAGGGTGATGCAGCTCGGTGCAGGGTGATGCAGTGCAGGGTGATGCAGCTCGGTGCAGGGTGATGCAGTGCCGTGCAGTGCAGTCTCACTGGTCCCATGCAGTGCAGTGGGGAGCTGCGCATCACGTTGCTGCATGAGACCAGGTGCACCCTGCAGGGCTCTGGCTGGCTTGCTGCTATCAAAGCCAGTTTCGGGTTGGGGTGCCAGGCCCCCGGCTCAGCAGGACCCCTCATTCTTTCCTCAAGACCGAGCTCCTTGTCCCTGGGAGTTCTGTGCCTTGAGGAATCTGCTCCAGGCCATGGGCCTGAAGTCCTACTGCCTCTCGAAGCAAAGGTGCTCCTGTGGCCAACTCATCCCAGCACCCACCTCCAGGGCTGGGATTTCATTGTTTTTCCTACACACTACAGCCTTCTCCCAGCTTTTTAGGCCACAAACCCTGCACAACAGAGTACCACCAAGTTTCTAGCACAGAAACTAGTGAAGAAACTTGTACCACCACCAGGGATAAAAACTGCCTGGGATTTTGTAGTGCCTCATCTTGCAGCTGCTGCTGCTTTCCAAGGCATTCCATTACAGTGAGGGCCACACAGAGGGAACGTGGTGTGTCCAAGCTCACCCAAACCCCTCTGGCTGCTGCAGTGCTGCCACAGCACAGAACAGCACCCAAAGAAAAAAAAAAGCAGAGAAGGGAGAAAAGCATCCTCACCTTTTTCACAGGAGTGAGCTAAACTCTGCTTTGCTTGAAGTGGAAATTTACACAAGGAGCTTATCTGAAGGGTTGCAGGAGCACCTGCTGTGAAGAGCAGGATTTTTTTACATTGCCACCTGCCACCTCCAGATACCATAAGCACTTCTCCCCTTCACAGGCGTTGGGAACATCCCAGCAGGGATTTAAGACATCTTGGCAGCTATTTGTAGCACAGATCTCCTTTGGACCATGGCAGAACAAGTTCACCTGGAGTCCACATGCACAAATCTGCCACACAGATAGTACAACAAAACGATTTTGTCTTCTAAGCCTTTTCAGCTTCTCACTATTTACGGCATCACTGTAACACAAAGAAGACACTCAAATGTGAAGTAACACATCCACTGGATGTGTGTTCCTTTGTGTCAACAAATCAGTGAGACAACGTAGCTGTTTGAAACTGCTTTTATTAGAAGCACGTGTATGTGGCTGATACCTGGTCTATCACTGTAATTAGGTGCACAGCATGCAGAGATGTGTTAGTGTCTTTATGTGCTTTGCAGAACTCTGAAAATTTTCAAATGGCTTAAGATTGGTAACTCTAGGTGGTTCTGCAAATTTGTAATTCTGCTGAAGGGTTAATGTTTCAATACTACCAAGAAGAAATTAAAAGTCCCTCATTACTGTCTTTAAAATTCCCAAAGCAATGGCTTTGTATGTGGAAGAGGGATGTACACAATGTGAGGGACCATAGGAAATGTCCCTATAGGCATATATATATATATATAGGAATATAGGAATAAAAGATATACAGGAATATAGGGTATATGGGAATTTATACCTAAGGACTAACAGTGTCTGCCCCAACAGTATAATGGGGGGAAACAATGAAAGCAAAGTGCATGCTTGTTTCTGTAGGGCTCTTAGCACCAACAAATCTGAGTGGATGGCTGACAATGACTGAAAACTCTGCTGGCTAGAGAGGTTATGGTCCAACACTGAGTGCTTTAAATAAAAGCTCACAGGCAACCACCCACTCGATGCTTTATGGGGAATATTGGAAATAGGAACATGTATAGATGCACTGAACTGTCTACACCTCCTGCTTCAGGCCACGGGTGAAGCAGAGCAGGTCCTTCTCCTACCAGCCCCTCTGCCCTGTGTAGGAAGAGGTCAGGGCTGTTCCTGCCTACACCTCCCCATAACTGAATCTGAAATGTGAGTATTGAAAGTACATGTTCTAAAATATTTCCTTATTCCGGCCTCATTGTGTTGATAAATCTTCAAATTATTTAAACACACAGCTAGACAAACAAGCACTTAAGAAACCTAGATACAAATGAGAATCAAGAAGTGTCCTGCTAACTCCTACATGTAAAAGGCACTAGAAGTTTTCCAGACTATTAAAATTATTTTTTGAAAGTAATAAGGTATTCAGGATATGCCTGAATGTCATTAAATATGACAAACATTGATGGATTCGTCACATCATCAACTACGCTGTCAAACAGGTCAAAAGGATCTGCTGGGTTTTTTGGTGGTGGAGTTCTTAGTCCTCTTCTCCCAGCACAGTACTTCCCCGTGAGGACCCGAGCCAAGTACATGTATCTTCTGTTGTTCTTGTCTGGTGTGGAGTAAGTATCCCTAGCAGAATAACTTGCATCAACAGCAAAGTAGGTTCCATGTCCAATTACTGCAGCTGTTTGGAAAGACAATGTTTTCAAATAAAGGCAGTGTTGTTATTTCCAGAAGAATCTCTAAAACTCCCCCTCCCTCCCCTTTTATTTTATTTTCCTCACTCTGTGAATGTTATAAATTTGATTAGAGTTTAAACAGCAAATTCTAGTAATAATTATTTGTATCAGAATTAAATATTAATCTGCATAGATGCCAAATAAGTGTCAACACTCAGGTTTTGACTGTCCTTTTCTAAGGGAAAAAGGGTTCCTCTCTCTGTTAACCCTTGCTGCTTAGCCTGCAATCCATCAAATTGCCAATCTTCAAAGCCTTTTCAACTTAAAATGACTATATGATTGTAATTACAGTTTTCTAGTTATACTTCACAGTAAGAAGTTAGAGGAATCACAGGTTTCCGTCTGAATTATTTTTTTGATATTGTTTGTCAACACTCAGGTTTTGACTGTCCTTTTCTAAGGGAAAAAGGGTTCCTCTCTCTGTTAACCCTTGCTGCTTAGCCTGCAATCCATCAAATTGCCAATCTTCAAAGCCTTTTCAACTTAAAATGACTATATGATTGTAATTACAGTTTTCTAGTTATACTTCACAGTAAGAAGTTAGAGGAATCACAGGCTTCCGTCTGAATTCTTTTTTTCTGATATTGGTACAAAGCTGTTTGGGCCAGGCAGGTCCTTCCTATCTGATCTCTGGATATTTTTCCATGGCTACTCAGCCTGACAAAGGGAAGTGTGCCTTTCCTCTCATAAATCCTGGCTGAGAAAGAGAGGTGGATGTCAAGATTCCCAGGCAGAGAGAGGACATGGGCATCTAGGGCTCTTACTTCTCAAGTAAATCCAACCCCTGGCACTATTAAAGAGCATGGAAGTGAAACTACATCTCCTCTAGTTATGTTTTTAAAATAAACAGTAGCTGCCATTTCTATCTGCACATGGCCTGATACAATCTTTGTGTGTGTTTGGCTTCATTTTCTCAAGAACAGACCAACGTAAGTACCTCTAGAGGATCCAGACAGAGAAATGTCTACTTTTGGATCCAGACTGCACTAAAGTATCGACTAGATGTGAGTTAAGCTGCCTGGCTCTCTCCGGATTAAGTCAGCCCTAGGCATGTACAATTGTGTCTTAAGGAAGAAAACATTAAGAATAGAAATTAAGGACTTCTGAAGTAAAGTTGCAGCACCTTGAAGACCAACTGGCACCTCAATTCAGCCCAAGTTCCAGTTCTTTCGTTCCTGTCCTTCATCTTTGAACGCTACCAAATAATAAACATGACATGACTGTACTGGGGAAGCTGGACAAAACAATCTATGAACTAATGAAGAAAGTCCTTCTGCTAAATATTTAATAGATATCCCTAGCAACTATTAAAGGGGAAGAGTTAATTAATGAATTTCAACTGATTTCATTTACATAAAAATGGTAGGGGAGTGGGATCTTCTGATTGCTTCTGCTATCCTTATCTCTGGAGGCAACAGGAGAAGCATCTGCACCTCTACTACCTACCTTTGTCTAAGAGGAGAGGAGAAACCAGCAGCTAGCAGCTGGTATCTCAGCTGAAGATGCTGAACAGCAGCCCTTGTTCCTTTCTGTAGGCAGACCACAGTAACATATCTCAAAAGCTGCCCAGGCTTGATTTCAGAGTAGGTGAGCTTCTTCTGATACCCCCTAGATGGTGGTGTTCATCAACAACTGAACAAGTTAATTCCTCTATCCTCATAAATTATGCTTTGGAGTTTATAATTTTTTTTTCTCCAACTTGATGTTGTGCTGCCAGCACTTTCAAACTGACATTCCCTAGCACACCTTGAGGAAATTGAATGTTTTGGTTATTGACTCACCATTCTTTCCAGCAAACGCACGATTAAATCCATTTAAGTTGATGTTGCTCAATGAGCATGCAGTTGTCCCATGAAATAGCATCCTCTCATTATTTTCATTTTTGTTCTTTGCACAGAGAGATATTTTTTTAATTTGGTATGTCTGCCAAAGGTAGGGATTTTGCATTCTTTCAATCTGCAAAGTCACAAAATAGAACTATGTTTATACTGGTAGGGATCAATATGTATCATGGCAGGAAAGCTTTAAAACCAAACTGAAAGAATAACAGTAATTTTCACTGTACCCTCTTAGTGTGGGGCTTGGCTTGGGGAATTGAATACACGAGCCTCCTGAAAAATCAGAAACCAAAGTAGCTTACAAGAGCTTTTCAAGCTTGGTAATTTTTTGTATACTTTTGTCTTGCCTGCCACCCCAGGTACACAGGCAACCACAGTAGGGATGCTTTGTCATTTTTAGAAACAGGCTGTTGTACCACTGCTAGAGCAAACAACATCAGGTGCCTTCTTGTACATCCTCACCATCCTTACTGATAACTTGCTCGCTAAAGGGTAGACTGCAGCAAAAGCATTACATTGAATTTAAGTCTCTCTGCTAGGTCTCAGCATGGAAGTCACAATTACATCCTTTCCTGTGCAGCTTTGCAACAATGTAAAAATAATTTGCTGAGAGGATTGGTGTTGCTGCCTCCCCGTGTCAACAGTGTGAAGATGGCTCAGGGGGAAACCAGCTGCATATCTGCATCCACGTATCATCTTACAGGCATTGCTGCAACAGCTTTCCATTTTCAATTGAAAATGTCTTGGTGTCATTACCTGAGTTTTTCCAGTGTACACTAATATTTTGTCCTGTTTGTGTCTTGGTGACCATACTCATTCAACCTCATGACAGAAGAAATTTTTTCAAACACATATTCTCTTCATTTAATTGTATTTTCTCTATTTGTTGCTCCTCCTGATTCTGAATAATTCCATCTTCTCCCTGGCAATTCAATCTCTGTGCTCTGTGTTGCAGATTTTTCAATGAGCAGAATAAAATCTTGACACTTTGGTTAAAACCAACACTCCAGCCTAGCCTGACAGGCTGGGGCTGACAGGGGAGAAGTAACACAATTGTAAAAAGGGGTATGGCCAGTCTGTAAGGAGTCAGTATTTTCCTTTGCATTCTGAATGTGCTTGCTAATGCTTCCCTTTCAGTATAGAACTTCCTGATTGGAATTACCACATGAACTAATGATCCCCAGATTAACTGAATGTGGAGTCAGCTCAGAGACTGATGGTCACTAGTTTTGTGTTAGCAGAAGGCAGACTTGGCAGGGCAACTCTTAGGAAATTGGATTTGATTTATATCCACCCTGTCCTACAGTGCTGGGGAGACAAATTAAAGGTGTATTTTGTTGCAGAGACCTTAACAAACCTTTAGAAAGTATATTAATGTTTTTAGCCCAAGAATTCACTCTTTTTCCCCTATAGGATTTCACCTTCTCTATGATCGCTCCGGGACAGCTTTTCCGAAATTGTCTCTCAACTTCCAGAAATTCCTGACATGGTGGTTGGAGATTCACCAGTTTGACCCGTTCCTCTTTCATGTCTTCCCAATGCATAGGGAGCTCTATTGCCTGGTTGTCTGCAAAACAGTGACAGCATCATTAGCAGGGTATCATCAGATACCTGGAGCTCAGTTTTGTAGACATATCCTACAAACCGTCTGCATACAGAGGGCTGAGAGGACAGTACCCTACACAATACTTCATTGCAAGAATACCCTCTCCCTTCAACACCTCACTGGCTTTGTGATGCACTGTAAAAAGCTTTGCATTTTCTCTAGTCTAATTATCCCCATAGCAGTATCTAACAAAAAAAAAATAATAATTGGAAAACCACAGAAGAATTTTATGCACTCTTCATACACCACTTAAGCATTAAAATTATGCTCACTAGTCTCATAGGTGAGGATAATGTTTTTATTTAAAATACCTGTTCTGATTTCAGTCCTATCTGTCACTAATCACGGAAAAGTAACAAGAAAGAAGGGAAGAGGGGGGGGTGGGGTGAAAGGAAAGGGAATAAAAGGGCAAAAACCCCTACAAAATAGCTTACTACTTTGGAATAGCCAAGTTTGCATTTATCAGAATTATAATTCAGTAATCACCATTAAGGGTTTTTTTAATTAAGAAAGCTGTAATTTACCTTCATTTTTTGGCACACGTTGAATGTTTATAGTTTTCCCTTGGTCATCAATAGCCTGTAGACTATTCAGATCCACCTTGTAGTTGTTGTTGTTAATTTTGACAGTAAGATGTGGTCTTTTAGCTATTTTGGCATCCTCCAGCTGCATATTTGTCAGTTTATCAAAAGTAACAAAGCTGCCATTGCTTCCAGGATACCTCCATTCAACCAGGTTAAAAGCAAGTTCTGCCTTGGATCGCTCTTCTTCAGTATCTCTAATGTTTTGGATCATTTTTTTAACTTCCCCAGAAACAAACCAGACATCTTTGCTAATACCAGAGATTTTAATCTTGGGGGGGGAAAGTGTATTTTCAAACTGAATTTTAACATCCTTTCTTTTCTGGAGATCTGCCAAGGTGTCAACGTGACTGTCATCAAAATCTTCAATTAGCTCATCTGACATAATGTTTTCAAACTGTTCCTTTGAAATTAATTTCTTTAACCACAATTCTGTTTCATATATTTTTTGTCTGCTTTCTCCACAAATTTGAAATGTAGCTAAATCAACTTTCTTCTTCAAAGCCCTGGGCTTTTTCTTCTCAGTGGGTTGGATTCTGCGCCAAAAACAAGCTGTCAAGAAATACATATTCCTTATTAGTTTGAAATAAAAGATCATTAGCTTCATGTGCCCGTACACGTGGGAAACTTACATCTAACTGGAGACACCTGTGAATTTTCTGTGGATGAATCTGAATCTCTTATCTTCTTCATGCTGGAGTAAAAGTCTCTGAGCATAGCTCTCTGGAAGACCACGATTTTAATTTGTTTCAGATTCTGTACTGATCTTTGGCTTGCAAATTCCACTATGGCATCCAACATGTCATCGGCTACATATGCTGGACTCAGTCCTCCTTGACCTAAACAAAAATAAAAGGCATGTACCAGTGAACAGCACTTAAAGCAAGGCAGCATCTAGAAAACAGAGAGCACATCCCCACCTCATACAGACTGGTGTCCCTCCCTCCTCCCCCATTCTGCTTTCAGGCCAAAGCCCCAGGCTTAATCTCAGCTTTACACCTAAGCCTGTGAGCTCCAGGAGCTGACACCCTACACAGACCTGGGAAGACCTTCTGGGATTCACCCCCTGTGTACTTTGAGGTTCCAGGAAACACTTCAGCCTTAGCCTCCCCGTGATGTTTTTTAACCCACACATCACTAACTCTATCCCCAGCTTTAAACCAGGTACCAAAGTAAAACCTGACCAAAAGCAGCAGAGGATTTTGACACAAGCCTGCTGTGCATTTCAACATACAAACAGGAACATCACACTCAAAACAATCGCTCTCATTCCCCTACAACAAGCCTGAAGTACAACCTGAAGCTAATCCTGAAATTTTGTTGGGATCCCAAGCCATTTCAGCCACTGCATCCCTGGGACAGCCACTGTGACAACAGCATGCAGGTGCTGTTGGCAGCCCAGGGGATCTGCCATAACCATCACTGTGGAGTCCAAACACTGACCCACACACCAGCCTCTACCCTAACCTGGCACACTGAGCAAGGACCAGCTCATGATTTATTTTTCCCATGAAGAGGAGCCTTGGCCTGAGGAGAACACCCTGCTTTCTTCAAGCCCTGCTCCCCAGGCTAGCCAGAAGCTTCAGCCAAGGAAGCTAGCCTGCCTCTACCCCTGCACTGGAGCAGATAGGCTCTATAAATGGTGTAAACTACTGGTACCCAGCCCACAATTTCTGTAGCCAAGGTTTTGATCTCAGGACAAGTCCAGCTTCCTCCTCCTCCAAACCCCAACTCCAGCCCTTCCGTGTGGCTGAAAGCCCAAGGCAATGGTCTATGGGAAGTTTGAGGAAAGGTGCAGGGTGGCCAGGAGACACACAGTCTGTTTTGGGGAAGGATGTCTTTTATGGAACAATACCTTTTCTTTAGCTGTTCTTGCTCAAATCAATATTGACTGTAATATTTATACTTTTTTAAAAAACTAGGATTTTTAAAGTGTTTCAAATGACCACAACAAACTTGCACAAATCAGAGAGCTTCTTGTACAAGTCTACTCTTACCCACATCAGAGGCATCAACTTTGTCCCAGTTTCTGAACTACCCACATCACAGCCCTCATCACTGTCCCAAGACAGCGCAAACCTGTTCCAATTGCTGGGAAGGTGACAGATGTGTACATCCTTAGCTCACACTCGTTAAGCACTTTGGAGACCAGACTCTTCACGTTGCTATTGTAAATCACATGGATGATTCTACTGCACAACAGTTTCCCACCATGTGTAGTAATAAAGCCACTTTGACACTGCTCAGCTGGAACACAGAAGGTAAAGAAGACATTTAATTTTCAAAGTGGCTACCCATTCTGATAAGAAAATTGGTTATATTGATGCCAGAAGAAAAGTGCAAAAACTGGAAAGAAATCCACAGGGAGCCATATTATCCTGGTTTTAGTTGTTTCTAGTAAATAATTCTGACTGCAGAATTTCTTTGAAAAAAGTAATTCAAGTAATCATGTGTTTTCTAATTTCCCAAGATCCTAGCTACAATGGGGTTTCTTATTGAGTACAACTTCAGAATTTCTGTTGAATTTAAATACTGCTCACTTTTATTTAAAAGCATGCCAATAGAATGCTCACAATTAATTTAGATGAGAAATACCTTCTTATGACAATTATTCCTCGAAAGCTCAAACTCTTATTCTGCAGAAGAGCTGAATAGTTAAAATAATACCACTAAGATAATGACCAGCTGATCTAAGAACTGTGCTATGGAATCTGTAAAAAGACATTTGTGTTTTTTCAGAGCTCTAATGTTTGATTACAAACACCTCGAAACAGGAGTCATATTGTGGGGGTGAACAGACTGAAGAACATGGGGTTACACGCCACTTCACTGGTCACAAAGGTAACAACTGATTGCAAGAGGTTCTGCATGCACTGAGATCAGGCTGATAAATGGGGACAGCTTGAAAAGCCAAAGGCTGGGAAAAATATCCACAAAACTCCACCTTTTGAGTTAACTTCTGGATTTGGAGCAGAAACATTTTGTTTATGCACCCAGGACGTGTCCCTTTCTCTGCTCTTAGAGGCCAACCACAGAGAGTTGGGATTTTCCTGCTCTACTGGTCTGGCAAAATGCAGATTAGAAAAGAACTTGTGATCAGGGTGATAAGCAGAGTTACATTATTTCAATAAAAAATAATAATGTATTTTTGAATGTAAGCCCAGATCTGCTATTAGCTTTTAAAAGCCAGTCCTGCATGGGCTTACACCAAAAGAAGGTCTTCCACCACTCTGTTCAGTTTCAAAACTTCAGCTCTCCTCTATCTGACAATAGATGAGCTTAAGAATCATGCTCAAGCCAATGGGACTGTTTCTGGTCTTAAATCAGACACCAAGTAGGTGTCAAAACAACAACAGGACTTTTCGAAATTCCTAAAAGTGAAAGCTATTTTTTCAGCTAAAATAATTATACCCTCAGAGTACAGAGTAATAAAACAATTTTAAGTTTTCAGAGAGAAAAGATTTTTATTAAACAAGACAGTATGTTTTAACATACCATATTGAGTACATTCGTCTTCTACCTGGGAACCTGCAGCATCCATGATTGCTTTGAAGACCCCTTAAATGATACAAGAAAAGCATATGCAGTCATTATGTCAACTTAGCTATTCTACTCAAAACTCTACACAACTTCTGGACTGTACAAATACCCCAAATTCTCACATAGCAAAGTGCAAAACCTTGCCAGTTCCCTTAAGTGCCTTCCATGACACACTGCACTGGCTGCAAAGAGAACATTGCTTTCCTTCTTGATTAGAAATCATTACCAATAACCCATATTTCATTGTTTCACCAGCCAATAGTATGCTCCTCACCAAACCCTCTGATTGATTTGAATTGTATCATGTGATGCCTTTTATACTTGCATTTCACAACATCACCAAAGAATCCTCTGCATCTTACAGCTCAATTTACTTAGCCAGGGCTTTGCCTTGCAGTGAGACATATTGGGACAAGAGCAGTTTTTCAGAATTTTGATATAAAAATTCACTTTATTTAAGCATTTTTGTCATCTGGTCAGATACCTTCTGTTTGAGTAGTTTAGAAACTAAGTGAACCATTCAGGACACATAAAAAACCTTTTTAAGATCTACTTCCTGACTAATCACAACTTTCTCATCTGAAAAATACTTAATTGCAGTTTCTCATATGGACAATTCTTTCCCCTACCCCTTTTAAAAGCTAGCACAAAATTATCACTAAAGAACTGGATATTTAATACAATACCTGATTTGGCATTAAATTTTTCATTTGCTATGTTTACAATAACCTCTGTATCTTCCTTGGTAATATCTCCATTAGCTACTTCAAGCTTAATGGGGCCAATCCATATTTTATGAACTCCCACTACTTCAGTTGGAACACACCTAATGGAACCTGCAAGGGAAAGAAAAATACCTTAAACCACTTCTTCTCTAGTTTGGGGTATTATTCTTTTCCACTGATGGAAACTTCAACTTATAATTTCAAGGAGCACGGTCTGGATCAGTCTGATGGCCCTAGAGAGCCTCTGCCCTTCTCTTTACTCCACTTCTGAAAGCAAGAGGATGCAGTACCCTTCCTGTTTCAATACTGTGAAAGTGAAACCATTTCTATTCCTGTAAATCAAGCAATATACATTCAGAAAGGACTTATGGGGTTACCTGACCTGACCAGGTTTGTAACAGTTTTCTGAATTAACTTGTACAAGAAACAGAGTAGCCAGCCTAAGCATTGCCAGTCACGGAGATCCCTCCACCACGCTTTTATAAAGTATTTCATCTTTACCCTCACAGATAGAAAACTGTTCCTTATGTCTAGTCTAAACTTACCTAACTCATATTTTATTGCACACTCTCAACTTCATCTGATTGATACAGCAACTGAGAAGTAAGAGCTATATATTCTTGGGAATAAGCCTTTACTGTTGATGCTGCTCACTGGTTTTCTTGTGCTAGTGTCACACCACTGTCAATTAATGAAAAGAAAATAATCCATTCTGTTTATCTCTGTGTAAAATATTGAAGGTACAGAAACACATGTTATGTATGGATAGTTTGGCAAAGTGATAACCAAGTTCTTAAACCCTTTGGAAAGGACAAACCAATGGTTCTCCTACCTGGATATTCTCTTCCATGTGATAAAACTGGCCTCACCAAGAGATAAACATGTCCTCAACAAAAAAAATTCCTCTTTAAGATTTCACAAATGGATTTTAAGAATGCCAGTCCATTAGGAGGAAAAAAAATAATAATAAAAAAGCTCTTTGTCTTATGACATGTCATCTGTTTCCTGTACATATAAAATCACTTTACAGAATTGACCTTCTTCCCCGTGTCCCACTTCCTGTCCCTCCCTACATAACATACCTGCCCCTGCTGCTGCAGCATCACAATTCTCAGTGATCCTGTGTCCTAGCTCAATGGTGAAAGCCTGAGAAGAGAAAAAAGGTACCAAAATGGTATATCAGAGTTTATATACTGAATATTTTCATAATTAACAGACACATAGCTCTTGCTGAGCCACCTGATGCACTTTACAGTCATGTTTAGTAGTCACTAATAACAGTGGAAGCCCAGGATGGTCCATGTTATACAGATACTGTCTTTGTGTTTCCAGAACTCCCGTCACAAGATGAGTGAGCACCTACAGGTGCCTCATAGGCAGTGAGGCCAATTTTGTCTTCAGCTTATGCTTGCTCAGAGTTTATATTTCAGAGACACTGAATGAGACACTGGAGAGACATCCCACCGTCACCAGCCCACAGCAGTAAGTGCTAAATTATTCCCTTGAGAAAGCAATAAAACTAAACTATATTGCTAAGGTATAACCAGAGCAGCATGTAACAGACAGCATTGTCCTGAGAAGAGCTACCTCAATGGTACCCAGATCCTTTGGATACAAGCAAAAATTAACTTCCTGGAGAGTCTTCCGAGTGTGCGTACGACTAAACTTGAAGACCACATCAAACATTAGCTTAGAAACAATGTATTTAGGAAATCCAAATCCTCCAGTTCCAATAGCTGGGAAAGTGATCGATTTCAGTCCAAGTTCTTCAGTTTTCTTCAAGCAGAAATAGATTATATCTTCTAAGGTCTGTAAAACAGAGTAGGTACCTTTAATAAAGGCATAATTTATTATTAGTTCCACAGAGACTATGCTGGTATGAGAAAAAGCTGTTAGTGCCTCAAGGCATCTTTAAGGTCACTCCAACAGAAGTAAATGGAGTTGACTCATCTAAGCTAACTATTTAAATCCTGAAACATCAGGACAGGATGCCAAATAAATCGGTTTCAGAATATTTTTCTTTTTAAAAAAATAATTTAAATATACCTGCAGGGCCTGTCCTCTTCCTCCATCCCAGAGAGGAAGTATGGCATGAAGCACGGACTTGCAGGGCAGAGCACATCCACTGGTGCAGACCACACCTCCTTGAACACCTTCCTGCCTTTCTTTTTCTTGGTCAAACTCCCACTGGAGTGCAATTCCAGCCTTTTCCAGCACGGCTTTGCAAAGAGGCCCCATACCAAACTTCAGACTTCTGCCAACACTGTTGACAATAACATCCGTCTGCAACAAAATGACCGTGAGAATACCTATAGCCAGACTGCAAGTTAAAATATGCATCAAGACAAATAGCACTACCAAAGGAGCGCAGAGCATGAAAAACAGGACTGCCAGTGGGGAAATAACCTGGTTTTCAGCACAGCTTCTACATACTAAGTACTCCTGGACTTGCAGGAAACCTACAGTAGGCAGCATCAGACTCCCTGTGACTACCACCACCAGGGGTATCTACGTGTGAGCAGGTCACTGGAGGCAAGGCTGTGACTCACTTCATCCTGAGCAGATGCCAACAACTGGGAAGGTGAAATAAACCCAGCCTCTGTAGCTCGCCTCCTCCCCTCTCCACAGACCCAGCCTTTCCTATATTTCCTTGTGAAGAATGGCTGCAGTGTTGCTTCTTCTTCTCTAGCATCACCACTGGATGTATTGTACAAGGTGCACACAATGCAGAAAGTTTAACGTCCCTTTCCTCCTTTGCAGTGAAGTGGGATTGGCTACACCTCACAGACCAAGACCAGAAGCAGCACCTCACAGACCAAAACAAGGTGAAGGGAGGTTGATGTGCTCTTATAAAGTGAAACAGGTAAAGACTTGAAGTCTGGTGTTTGATTAGCTTTCTTCCACTGGAGACACCTGAATCACCATTTTAAATGTGTGTCATATTGAGGGTTCTTTACATCTAGTACTGCTTTTTATTGGAACAGCCTTTTACAGGCACCAAAATGTCAACTGAACCAACTGATGCTGAAACAATAGGACAATAATAATAATAAGTTAGGGAGATTTTTCAACTCCAGAAGTATAAAGGCTGTTGATAAAGACAGGTTTATCAAGATGCACTTTGCATCACTGAAGAACATAATGTAAGGGAAACAAAGTATGTCAGAGGTGCAAGTTGAGCCTCGATGGTCTAGATGAGGAATAGCTAAATGCTTTGTTAGCAAAAAGAATAAGAATGTAAGGAAAAAATAAGTAGAGTCAATTCTAGACTTTAGCAAAAGAATCTAAACTAAGCATGCATTCTTCTATGGGGCTGCTTTCCTAGAGCCCAGTAGCTTTTTCACAGACTGTGTCTTTAATCCATTCAAAAAGAAGGAAACTAACAAAAATAAGCTACATCTTCCCTGTTTGCACGACAAGTGCTGAATTCCTGTAATATCCAACCTAGACAGCTACAGATCATATAAATGCTTCCAGAAAGTAAGTACTGCAGCATTTCCATTTTAGGAAAAAAAAGCAAGCTGTTTTACATGTTGACCTTAGATCTGGAGAATTAATAAAACCTAGGTGGGAATGAAACATCCTGAAACCCACAGCTGCCCTCTAGAAACTGCTGCAGTGCCAGTTCCCATCCTGAAATCCATCAGTTTTGCAACTTGCATCCCTGTTTAGCTCACACACAGCCATTGTTCCCTGAAGTAGCAATTGCTTTGTAAACCAATGTAACTTTAAGTAGAAAAATTTGAAATCTTCATATCACGTTAAAGATGAAGCAGAAGGCAACCTACCGTGGCTTCCTGGATGTTTTTCTCTTCTACTCGGATACAAAGCCCTTCATTTGTTGTAACCACCTGCAGATGCTCCTGGCTTTCTTTCAGCTCACTGCCCTCTGAGCGGGGCATCATCAGTATCAGGGAGAATGATTTAGCTGCAAACACTCTTTTTACCGTCTCGCTCAGAACCTGAACCACTTCTTCCACGTCATCCACGAGATGAACCTCCTTCAAGCTGCTGTCTGACTTGCATTTTTCCAAGGTCTCCTTGATGGAGGATACAACTGAACGTGTACAGGTTTGCAGTGGGAAGCCATAACTCTCTCCACTTATAGCAGGCAGAGCAATGGAATGATAGTTGAATATTTCAGCCAGCTGTATACTTGTCCTCACTATAGCTTTTATCACGGACAAGCAATCCTCTGGTTTATGCTTCTTCCACCTGGGCCCAACAGCATGCATGACACTCTTGCAGGGGAGCTTCCCAGCACCCATGGTAAGTACACACCCAGGCCCGTAACGGCCAGTCTTCCTCACCACCTCGTTGCACTCCTCTTGCAGCTCCGGGCCAGCTGCCTTTGACAGTGCCTCAGCAACACCACTGATGTGCTGCAATTCTTCATTACATAGACTGACCACAACATCAACTGGGTAATCACATAAGTTACCTTTATACACTGCTATTACAACCCCATCTGGCAGCACTACCTCATGGTAGAGCTTTCTTTTCTCTTTATTACCAACTTCTTCACCCTTCTGTTGTTGTTGTTGTTGTTGTTCTTCCAGCCTAATCAAACAGTTAAACTTCTGCTTTGCCTCAAGAACATGTGAATCTTTCCTCTCAGTGAAGAAGTTTTTAGCTCCTGGTGTATTGATTGTCACATCTTTTGAGTGAAGGGATGACAGAATTTTTTCAAACATGGTTACTGCTTTTGACACTTCTGCTCTTGGTCCATCCAGAAGAATACATGGTGTCCTGGTGTCAAAACATACTGTCACACCTTTCTTCCTCAATTCAAGATAAACATCAGATTTGTTCTCTACAAACTGCACAGCCACCACTGACTTAGCTGGGATTGCTTTTTCCACCTGTATGTTTCTATCTAGGAAACTTCTAAATTTCTGATAAACCTTTTTTACAGTCTTAGATAAGCCAGTCATAATAATTTTGTTTTCTTTTCCAACAGGTCCATCAATGACTAGGCCTTCCTGGGAAGAATTGTACTTCTTAAGCAAGGAGGCAAGAAGACTTTTCCACTCCTCCTTTTTAATGACCTCATCGTCCCCCACGTCAATGCATATGTATTTTAAGCCTTTCTTTATTTGCTTTTCTGCTTCCAAAAGATCTTTGGAGGTATTTCCAAATAGCATTACAACATCATCCTGCAGAGTACCATGCTCATAAAAAGCATTAATTTTTTTCCCAGTGAATAACAACTCTGACATTGCTTTATTATCTACGACCCGTAGATAGTTGAGAACATGGGGATCAACTGTAACTAAAGTATTTGGCATGTTCAATACCTTTTCCAGTAAGTCAGCTTTGATGACATACACTTCTGCAGGCAATCCACGCAGCTGAACAGTTTTTTTTGTGTCATCATAAAAGATCTTCAAGCACGGGTACTCTCGGTGAATTTTCTCCTCCAGCCCAGCATTTTGCAGAACAGCATACTGTCCTGGCAACACTGGCACAGAAATTTCTATGCTTTGGCTCTCTCTTTCAGTCTCCTTCATGGTGTTTTCCATCCATTCCCTCACGACTTTCTCTGCTCTGTCCACTGCTGCTCTGTTGCCTGCAATCACCATTGTCTCCTCAGGAAGGTCAGCTATGAGCAGAGCAACATCCTTCTCCAGTCTCTTTCTCACATCTTCCCAACCCACTGAGTTTACTCTACACTTTATAGTCACATAACATGACATGAGACGTGAGAACTCAGCACAGGCAGCTTGTTTCCACGTCTTCATCAACTGAACCACTGGCTTTTTCTGCTCAGGAAGAGGTAACGAGGGGCACAGTGTAACTTCGGGGTGGGCACAGTCCTTCTGTGGCCATTCCAGCTTGCAATGGCAAACTGCCATCTCCTGGTCTATGTCTTGGATCAGTTTAGCCTGCCTTTGTAAAAACTGCCAGACATGTGGATCTAGTGGCACCCCAAAGGGGTCTGGCATCTTGAGAGGTGGTCTTTCTTTTCCATAGAGGACTGTTCCCAGGGAAGGGTAATACGGATGCACAGGAATCTGTCTCTCTTCCAGTAAATGCTGCTTTTCCAAGACAGTGTTTAGATCTAAAAGTTAGCACACACAGAGCCAAACACACACACACATCATTAACTTCAAATCAAGCAAGTTACTCTGTTCTTAGAACTACTATGTTAAATAAAATAGCTCTTTCCAATGAAAAAAAAAAAAGAAAAGTTATTTTTATGACTTTCTGATTTCCAGGAAGGGGACAAGATAAAAAGCTTGGCTCCATCTAGTTTTGTAAATATGCTTGTGCTTGTATTTACCTGTACAGCTTGCACTCATTTCCTAAGGAAAGCCCACCAGGGGGCAGGGCCTTATTAAGTTACTACTGTGAAATGCTTCTTACTCCCAACTTAAAGTAAAACTCTGTGCCAGTGCATTTTTACTTTATTTTTGAGGGGTTGCATTTTCAATTGGAATGGACAAAGGAAAGGAATTAAGATGTTGGGACTTGAAACCATGTTACAGTGATCTAAAATAGCTATTAACTTAAAGCAAATTCTGAAAGCCAGAAGAAAAAAAAAATTGCCTGGCAGATATATTTAACTAAAAGTAAAGGAATTTACTAAGCCAGGAGTCTCCTAACAGAGATATTTACCATACAATGCCTCCTCTCCCTGCAAGTACAATCCTTGTTGTATTGCAGATAAAAACCTCTGTAAATGCAGAAAAAACATCAGTGGGAACAAGCCATGCATAAAGCAGATCTTAAAATGACCCTTTGGTAGTATGAAAAACAGAGAGATTCTGAAACTCTAGCCATGCAGCAGTATTTCTAAAGGCAGAGCACTTCCCAGGAACTGGACAGTGTTGCTGGCTTAAGCAACAGCAAGCCAGGCTCCTCCTAAAGCCCCAGATCAGGGTCAGTTTCTTTCAGGTGCTGTTTGGTCAGGTGGAGGGCAGCATTACCTTTGTGATCATGGAAAGTAATGATGGCCGAGTTCTCCTCAGGGAAGAGCTGGACACTTGACACAGACTTCCCTCCACTCTGCTCACTCTCGAAGTACATGGTGATGTCATCTCTGGAAATGTTGGCTGGGAGGTTTTCAGCCTTGATGCTCTGGGTCAATTCAAGAAGCCTGGCAGTCATTTTTAGTTGCCTAACTCTTTTGTGCTGTGAACATTTTTTGACAAACTCTTCAGCATCTGTAAACAGAAAAGCAGTACAAGCTGACTGTGTTTTCCAGTGTTGTTAACAGGCCCAGCTATCACTTCTGGCAGAGAAATGAGCTGAGTCTACTTCTCCCTCTATTTGGGGTAAAACTGTCTTTGGTGACAAATAATGAACTCTGTTGTGACAAACAGGGAAAACACACACAGCCAATGTTACTCTCTGTTGTTCACTGCCACTACGTCTCTGTTGGCCTCCTACTGATCTCTTGTATAAACTAAACGGTTCTCACTGTTTCACTTTCTTCTCAAATGGTGATTTTAAATAGTTTGCAGAACTCATCTTCATCCTCAGTCCACTACCACTTCTTCTACATCTAACCCAAAATAAGATAGAGACAATGAGACCTCATCAGTTTCAATTAATGAAGGTGCTACAGTTTTCTACTTTCAGTGTAACATTGGGAATCTCAGGCATTTTCATGGAGCTTACATTTTTCTTGAAGTCCAGGTAATTTTTAAAAACTGGATCTCCCTTGGAAGAAGAATCAAGCTCTGAAAGCTACTACTCCTACATATACATGGAAATAAACAATGGTATTAATCCTGACTTACCAATCCTTTTTTTAAAAGTAGCTACAGCAACATTTAGTTCAGGTATCTCTTCCACAGTGAAGTCATCATCTGACAGGCCACTGATGTTCTCCAACAGGATAATGAAGTATTCTGAATTGCATCCCATGTTTTCAAACACCACTGAAGGTGAGGTCTCTGCAGACTCTTCTGCAAGAAGGAATCTGCCAGATTCCTCCTGGTGTTCACTGCTTGGAACAGAACTCTCTGCATTCTGCAAGGCTTCTGCACCATCTTTAACAGAAAGAGAAATAAGCAGCATGACATATCAGTGCATCTTTCTTGGAATAAACAGATTTTGCTCACCCTTTCTCTCCCTTCCTCTCCCATGAAAAGAGATCATCTAATCAAACAAATACTGCAGGGTATATCCTTGGACTTGCTGGGATACAAAACAGCCCAGGTGTGATATTCTGCAGGGCTGCAAGCAGCTTCTGTGGTGGCACAAAAATAGCCAAAAGAAAACAAGTCCAAGGTCACTGTTATGTCTCTGAATTGGAGACATAAATAAAACACAATAAAATTCATTGAGATAACAAACCACAGCTGCCCAGGTTGGTAAGGGCTGTGAGAGGCTCTGCAATCCCTGCAACTGTATCTTAGTCTGGGTGTAAACAAGTTTGAACACAGCTGGGGACCTTCACAGGCAACACAGCAAATCAGTAACTCAGTGTGACTGGATGCAGAGCCTCCTGCTGACCACCGTGCCCTGCCACCAGTGCAGCACCACGGTGCTGAAGGACCCATGTCCACAGAAGGCTGGCAGGGATCCTGGCACTCACCACCCTCAGTGAACACCTCCAGGGCTGTGGCAGAGGACAGGTGCAACTGAGGGGGGAGGAGCTGAGAGGAGCAGCTGTACACCTGCCTGGGGATGGGGTGGGGTCAAGGTCTCAGCTTGCTTTTGCTCAAGAACATCCAAAAATCCCTCAGTCCTGGGGCAGCACCCAACAGCCCCAAGGAGGAAGACAGAGAGGCAGCACGGGAAGGCTGGAGCAGGAGGCAGCACTGACAGGCTGGCTCTGCCTCTGCTCCAGGGTTTACCAGCTCTCCTAAGGTACAACAACTGATACCAAACCTGTAACATGCACAGAAGACAGCTGCCTTGGAAGGCCTGTCAGCATAAGCCCAGCAAGAGGAAAATGAAACAAGTAACTGTAGAAGCCATATTATTTCTAGATCCCTGTCAGGAACCATCTGCTCCATTACATCCCATGAATTACAAAAAAGCCAAAACTGAAAGCTAGGCTGACCCAATGAAGGCATGAAAAGCAGCAGCTGAAGATTTTCAAGGTCCCCTCTGGCATAAAAAACAAACAAACAAAAAATAACTTGAAGTTCCTAATTTTGAAAGGAGGAAAAAACACCCAAAATGGCACCAAACAAGACTTTAAACAGAAACTCCATCCATAGAGTCTACACGACCCCTGGCCAAACATCTTTCCCTCTATCACCTGAATCAGGCTGCCAAACTTAGAAACCTTCAGCACAACTCCCCACCAAACTGGAGCTGTGTGTGGAGAAAAGCATCAGGGGTTTCATTTCCTGAAGAATCAGCAGACAGGACGAGGGACAACGTTTTACCTTCTGTTTGAAGGTTGCTTGTGGCATCCAGACCCTACAACAAAATTCAAGCAAAATATCAGTGAGTGTTTTGACACTCTCACCACTATTTCAAAGCTCTGGTTAGGATTACAATCGTTATTCACCTTTGTGGGAACTGATTTTTCTGGAAATGGCTTCTCTTCAGCAGCTACTGCTCTTTCAGGGTCTGTGACAATGATCTCCATTTTTTTCCCTTCCACATCCAGCTTATGACACTGTTTCTGAAGAACTCGTTGCCTCACTAAAGCGAACGAAACAAAAACCCCAGTGACAATTTGAACAGAAACACACCTTGAGGTTACACACAGCATTTTCCCACCGTTACATGAGGACACACACGCTGCCCCACAAAGTGGAAGAGCTTTGAACTCATGAAGCTAAAACAGCAAGCACAAGGCTTCCTTCCTGAAAGTGGGTGGAAGAACAGCAGGGGATATCATTTCTGGAAACAAAACAAAACCAAACACACCAGAACACCAGAGACCAAAGCAAAGCTCTACCACACAACTCCCAGGGAGTGCCCACAGCGCTGGGCTGGGGCTGCAGCACGGGGGTCCCAGGACCAGTCCCACACCTTGCACACCCTCTTCCAGCCACTACCAAAATCCTTTGTGTGTCTTGCACTTACCAGCTGAGCGAGTCAGCAACTGGGAAGCATGTTAAGGAGAGAAAAACAAAAAAGGTGCGTGCATATGTGTGTATATATAGACATAGATACGCTTACCCACACACGTGTACCTGCAGGTATATGTGTACACTTAAGAACCGCAGCTAAATCCCTGCCACCTTTGCAGCAAGTTGACAGGAACACACACACGTTACAGGGATACAAGCACGTTACAGGAACACACACACGTTACAGGGATACAAGCACGCTGTGGCGGGGGGGCCCGAGCCCCCGCCCCCCCCGCCAGCAGCTGCAGGCAGAGCCCAGGAGCCCCAGATCCCTGCCTGGGCCACTTCACTAGGAGGTAAAAACGAAGGCGCCAAGGAAAGCTCAGGGCAGAGAAGGGCAGGGGGGGCGATGCCGGAGCAGATGCCGAGGGCAGCGGGGCAGGAAGGGGCCGAGGTGCCGGCGCAGAGGTGACAAGCAAACGAGTCAGTGATTCC